TCCTTTTCCTGCTCATCAAATTCCTGCTTTTGTTCGACCTCCTTCCACCATGGATGAGGCGTGCATCTTTGCCCATTTGGGTTGAATTTTTGATTGGGAGGGAACTGTTCCACGATATCTTAACGGGGACGAAAGCTAAAGCTAGAGTCGAGATATATACTCCTCATTTCTTTGCTCGTCGCTTGGTTTTGGCCAAACTTGGCCTATTCCTCTTTGCTATTCTAAGAATATTGCAGAGCGTTTTCATCTTATTAGTAAAGCTGAGGCTGGGGTTGTTGATGTTCGTAATAAAAGCTTGGCCATTGGCTTTTCTTTTGTTCCTTTTAATTCCACTGATGTTACGTATCCTCTTTTTGACCAGCTATGGCCATTTGTGAAGCATAGGCTCTTTTCGGTTAATGCTAATCGTACCTTTCACTCGTTGGATCGCTCAGAAATTTCCCTTTCTTTCCCCATTCTTGCTACTCCTCTGTCCACTAGGGGTCCTTCCAAATCACCATCAGTTTTCCACAAACGTTCGTCTGCTTCCCCAACTGCCCAGGCCAATGCTGCCCAAGGAACTTCTAACCGAAAACGGCCAGCCATAGCTTCTCCAATCCTGCAGGATGACGCTGAAGATAATGGTGGTGATGATGTTGATGTTCCCCTTATCCATAAAAGAAAGGTAATGACTTCGTTTAATCATGACAAATCATTCTCCATGAATTGATGTTTCATTTGATGGTGTCAGAAGGGCTCATCTTCTCATTCAAAAGCCTTGGTCACAGCTTCTCCTGCTCCCGTTCCTGCTGTTGTAACTGTTTCAACCGAATTATCTGAGGAAGGGACTTCGCTCAAAGAGAAGCCTTCAGTTCCAGAGTCTTCATCACAGCCCACTGAGACATCGCAGACTTCCCAGGGCGTCCATCCCCCAAGTGCTGAACCAGCAGGTAGGTCATTTTTTGGCATTTTCCCTTTATTGATTTAGCAATTTTTAACTTATCGTTCCTTGGATGCATCAGGCGTTTCCTCGGTCCTACCTGTTGCGGTGAGGTCGACTTACTTAGAGAAAGGGAAGTTTTCGCGGATGGTGGGGCCAATTGATGATGATCCTAAACATCCGAAGGTTGCTGATGAGGTAGCTCATATTCTTCTTTCGTTCCTTGCTTTACTTCTTGTAATTACACTTTTAACATTGGCATTTTCTTTCAGTGCACCAATGCCGTTGTACGCTCTATCCAAAACTTGCTTTCCTCTTGGGAACAAATGAAGACACATTGCCCTTCTTCTAGCCATCCTTCTGACTCCTTAGGGGCAAACATGGAAATTCTTAAACAATCAATGCTTGAGTATGTTGCCTTCATGGACATGGATGTTCGCACAGCCAATGCTGCCAGGCAGAAGGATAAATTCGATCTTTTGAGTACGAAGCTGGCACAAGCACTTACGCTTC